GAAAAAGTGAGTGAATAGCAAAATATGTGAATTAAGAAAAGAAAAAGAGTAGGTGGGTAGCAATAGCGATGATAATGAATATATTGAGGACAATATAGATATGTTCAATTTAATACAATCCAAGTTACTTAGCTAATTCTATTTGCTAAAATAGGTGAATCAAGAAAAGAGAAAGGGTGGATGGGTAGCAATAGTAATGATAACAAATATAGTGAAGACAATATAGGTACATTCAATTTAATATAATCCAAGTTTGGCTTATGTTATTTAGCTAATTCTATTTGCTAAAATAGGTGAATCAAGAAAAGTGAAAGGGTAGATAAGTAGCAACAGTTGAATATTATTATTATTATTATTAAAACTGGCTCATCCCACGCCTTCTCCAGTACTTTATTAATAAAAGATCATATTTAGCAACAATCGGGATGAATACTTTCCCATACTGTCTAAGGATTTACAGATCACTAGAGAGAAATAGAACAGGGAGCTATCTATTTTTATAACTTGATCTATGTCTAACCCAATCAGGATAAGAAAAATATATGACCACCTAGTATAAATACTTCTCTTTTAAAAACAAAGTGGGGGACAAACGAGATACACAAGCTGTGCATTGCTCACCCATCTCCATATTCAGAAATTGATGCTATCTAGAGTATACTAATGTACCCACTGATCGACTTGTTGCCATCCACTGCAGGGCCTAACATGCCAGGACTTGCACAAGAGTCCCAACACCATCTGATGTTGGAGGTCTCTTGTACTAGTCTTGCGATTAGTCAGTGTTAAAAATAAAATTAAAATAGAGGGGGGAAGGTTGAAAATATTTACAAGAAAATTAAGTAGGGGAAGGAATGAAGGGATGCCTAACAACTACTTATTCACTCAACTTTGCTTCAGAAAATACTCAGTCCATAGCCTTGACAATTTCGGAGTTGATGAGAGAGAGGAGATCACAGTCCATGTGATATTTATCCACCTGCACAACTAACTGATGACTTATGATGGACCTAAGGTTCTTATGGAGCTTAGGAATGCATTCATGTTCCATGTCATGTGTATCCTTGTTTATATTTCTGCTAATCGTGAAGCAACCAGTTTCAAACTTCAGCCAATCAATCCGTTCAAAATCTGGTGTAGCAGAAAATTCAGGGTCAAGCTAGGGTAGGCAAAATTCCTCAGAAAAACTAAGAAAACTGCTACACACTGAGAAAAAAGCCGTTTTTGCCTGTGGTATTGATGTCTGCCTACTGGCTGGCATGGAGTTGTTGGTCCAAACTTCTTTCTAGACTCTGGGACCTCCATAGGGAAGGGAGGGAGGGTACTTTTTTGTCTGGTTTCTTTTTCCTAGAAAAGCTTTCTTGCCATTGACTTCTTAGGTAGAGGGTTTGTGAAGAGGAAAAGTAAACAAGAAGAATATAATATGACTACTATCAAGTGGGCGGGTGTTTTTAAAGAGAGTTTTGAAGTTTTGTTACTCTCAAAACATAAAGTTTTGGAGGAACACTTCTTTGGAAATGGTGGTCAGGAATCTACGGGAAAGAGTGATGTGTGGTCATATGCAATCTACTTATGAGCAGTATCACATTCACTTTTAAATACAAGCTAGGTTTGATTAGAACAATCCCTAACAATATACTCTTTATAAGTACAAATATAATATTATATATCTCTAGGACAGACAATGACTTTTATATATCATCAACTGATGCAATAGAATCAACAAACAGAACAAAGCAGGTGATATAGCAAAAGCCAGATATAATCTATTCAAAACAACTTCTGATCAATACAATCTATCCTGAACAAACTAAAATACTTTCTAATTAATTTAGGAAAGAATCTTATACAGGATTTGATCTGGCTCATGAGAAAACATGACTTCATCTTCTTACTTATTTCAAATATAGATAGTTTAATACTTATAAAAGAAGTTAATATATCAATAGAAAGAATTATAAGTAAAGCTTTATATTCAAAATATTATCAGGAATTAAAAAAGTATAATCTCATGTTTACTGGTCAAATACTAAATAAAAGCAAAATCAAGATCCTGAACTAGTGCCAAATTATTTGGATAGTAAAAAAAGCAGTCTCAGGTCCAACTCTCAACTGGTTTAATATTATTAATAAAAAGTTAGAGAAACTAATTGAAAGAAAAAAAACTTTATTACTCAAAATGCCTCTTCAAATATATTCAAACAAGGAGCTCCAACATTTGAAACCTCAACCACTAAACTATATTAAATCTATACTTCCAAGGAAGGCAATACAGTCATTGAAAAGAAATAACAAAGAATTGATCAATACGTAACACAATATAGATACTATATTCAGAAACCTAAAAGCTTTCCCCAGAGGCATGCCTAGTTGCAATATCAATACACTAGAAAACAATATTATTGAATGCAGTTTTACTATTCCAAAATAATAATCAATTACTATACTAGTTCAAAAAAGCAAAATCTCAATGAACAAAACCAACACCGCAGATAGAGAACTTCAATAAAGAAACAGAGTATCTTTCAACTCTTTAAATACCACATTTATAAAATATATCACACAAGATAATATAAATTCACAAGAAGCTGAAACAGAAATTATAATTTTAACAAGGCTACAAAGAAGCTTAGAAAAATTAAATAATATAATAAAAGATTCCATAGATAGTATAACTATCCTAAAAATAATCAAAGAGAAACCAAACAACTATACAATCTTTAACATTTACATCAATGACTCTTTAACCAAATTTAAAAACAAAAACTATATGGAACTAGGGTAGATTATTATTATTTCAAATTAGAAGACACATATTTTTCAGGAACAAATAACCAGGTACTCCTTATCAAATAGAACAAAAATTATAGCTATTCTAACAACTTTTAGTATTCTATTTGAATACGGTATAGCAAACATATTCAATTATAGCCAAGTAGCAATCAATAAAATCCTAAAAACACAAAAAGAATCACCTAAATGATAATAAAAACATAGAAAAACTATAATATACTGATACAAATCTCAAAATAGTGCAAAGAAAATAAAATAAAACTATCGCCTTTTAAAGTTAAGGGTTACTCAGAAATTGAACACAATAAAATAACAGCAAACTAACACAAATTCATTCTTGGAAAGATATGTTATTAGGAAAAAAAAATTGAGATAGCAGTAATATATAACCAATGTATTGGAATAATTCTCTAATAGAATAATATTCCTATTGAAGTTTTTATAAAAATGATTGCAAAAAAGTTCACAAGTACTATATACCTGGCAAAATGAAGACTACTAAACAGAGCAAAATATAATTTTAGTAAAAGAATTATCAAAGAAATAGACTGATCTATAATTATAATATATTTGCAACCAACTAAAATAAAAAATTATTACACAACTTAAAAGAATCAAAAGTTGTGAAAATTTTGCCATAGTATATGGAATAAAAAGCTATCAATCAAAATCAAACTATATATAAGAACACCCTTATTATATCAAAATAAGACTACTTAGTATACAAAGATTTTAAAACTAATACACATTTCTTCATATACTTGCAGATCAAATAAAAAATTGAAATATTCCTAATCAATATAATATTTGAAAGTATGGAAACACATGTGGGTAGAGTTAAAAGCTTACAGATCAGATAAAAAAAAAATTAATTTAAGATACAAGGAATACTTAATAATAAGCATTCTTCAAAGAACTAACTTATGACATCAAGAGAATAATTTCAAATAAACTAGTTAGGAAAAGCTATATCTTCATAATATATACAAAAATTATCAAATACCTTATCAGATATGGATAAAAAGATACAAGGTCTTTCAAGAATGGAAAATACAAAATATATCACAAAACAAAAGGAAAATAAGTTCAAATATAAAATTAAAAAGAAGATTCACTTTTCATGCAAAGAGAATAGTTTATAAAAAACTAGTTTATTTATATGATCAATAAATTTATAACTCAATAAATAATAGATACAATAGATAACTTTTATATTCTCAAAATTTATTTTAGTACTAACCTAGCCTTGGCAGGTTAGCTTTCACTAAAGAGGTGGTAACAAGTTATAAGGTGAGTTCCTCCTAAAAGAGGTTATCTCTATTGGATTTTGTTTGATAGTAGATTGATAGTATATCTAAAAAACTTTTATATAATAATACTATATAAATATAAATAAAACAAGGCTGAGCCAACATTAAAAAATATATATATATATATATTCTTTAATATTTTTATTGATATTTAATTAGTATAAATTACTTTATTAAATGTAATATGTGACATATTTTACCATTGATTAAATAATTCAAGAGACCTAAAAAATTTAAAAGACTCAAATGATTCAAATGATTATTTTTATAAATATATAAGCAGTCATAATTTGCTTAAAAGTAAAATAAGATTGTATGATAACTTCACTTGATTTTTTAAAGATTGAATATCTTCTCTTGACTTTAAAACTAAAGGAATTGTTTTAGTTTTTCTAATTTATTAATAAATTTGAATTCAGAGTAAACCATATTTCTTGTGAAACACTATATAACTTTATTTAAAGGATTCTTGATAAATTTATTTTTTATTATTTCTTTATTATAAACTGCTTCTTGGTTCACACATTACAACTGATGGATATTACTATCAATTATTCTATTAAGTCACCAAACAAGAAATTGCACAAGGAAAAAGCTTTAATAAAAAAAAATTTTTTTAAATCTCTGAAATAAGTTAATAGTATATACCGTGATAAATTTATATTTAAATGGTATGTTCAAGTAAAATTGTCAATTCCCAAAAAAGAATTCAGAAAGGTTTTTTTGATCATAATATGCTGCCAAAGCGATTAAGGAAAATAAATTTGTTTGTTTGCACGTGGGGCATGTACAGATTTTCGCGGATTAAATAATAAGCCAATGGGATGCGACTGATCTTCAAATTATAAGTTACTCGGCGGGGTTTTTTTTTAATCATCGCCAGTCGCAAAAGCAGAAATGAGCACGACAGAGAAATGCCACTTGCTGCCAACAAATGTGAGACCAACTCATTACGACCTAACCTTTACTCCAAACCTGGAGACGTTTAGGTTTAATGGCAGAGAGATCATCAAGTGAGTTGTATTTGTGGGTTCTCTGACATCGAAACACGTATGCGGTAATAATGCCATTTATCGCCTTTACTAGGTTGGACGTTAACGAAGAAACTAGCGTGATTAAACTTCATGCCAATAAGCTTGAAATCACATCCGCAAAAATTATCTACTTGGTTGAGAAATCTGAACTCAGGTCTTCAAAAATTTTCAGAATTGTTGCGGCAATGCGCGTCTAATTGAGTTATCGGTACAAAACTTTTGATATTTCAATAGCCAAGATGTTGCGAATAGTATTAAAGGATACGGAATAACCATCAAAGATGCTATCGAAATAAGTTTTCCGGACGATGCAAAGGAGACGGCAAGATTGACTTTTCCGGTTACGATTCCTTCCAAATCTAAAGCTGAGCTACATCTAGAATATAATGGAGAACTAAATGATAATTTGGTCGGATTTTACAAGAGTTCATATGAAGATAAATTCGGAGTTACAAGGTCTGCTGACTTGTCTTTTTCGCATATACCCATATGCACGTATACATGGCATCTTGTAAATCATTTTCTATTCTTCTCCGCACAACCGAAACATAGATATTTGGCAGCAACTCAATTTGAAGCAACAGATGCACGCATGGCTTTTCCTTGTTGGGACGAGCCATCGATAAAAGCCACGTTTGATATTACATTGATAGTACCTTCCAATTTAACCGCGTTGAGTAATATGAATGTTATTTCTGAAAATCCGTATGAGAATAACAAAAAGAAGGTCACCTTTTCGACAACACCTATAATGAGTACTTATGCAAGTAAATTCTCTCGACGGTTCATTATGAAGGTTTTTGTATTAATTATTTTTAATACTAATTTTAGTATAACATTTAAAGTTGGTGGCATTCGTCGTCGGGGAGTTTGGATATATCGAGGAGGAAACCACGGATATTGATGATGATGGTAAAGCGGGGAAGATTAGGGTTTACGCAACGAATGGCACTGAAAAAAATGGTAGATTCGCTCTGGAAGTGGCAAAAAAGTCTTTAAGATATTATACCAAAAGTTGGTGCTGATAGTTGGTTTGATTTAAGAAAGGAAATGAAGGCAAATTTTCATCAAACTTTTTCATTATATTAGTCTTTGGCATGCCCTATCCTCTACCCAAGTGCGATTTAGTCGCGATCCCGGATACTGGAAGTGGTGCCATGGAAAATTGGGGTCTTATAACTTTTAATACGACACAACTTTTGTTCGATATAAGCGCATCGGATTTAAGATTTAAGCAGGATATCGCTGTTACTGTGGCTCATGAGTTAGCGCACCAAGTAATTAATCGATCGACTGATTATTCTGATTACTGTTATCATCATTTATTTAAATATATATATGTAAATATACATATATGTACTGTGTATTTTTTTTTTTTTTACGCAAGTGGTTCGGAAATATAGTAACCATGAAGTGGTAATTAATAAATTAGTAAAGAGCGGTTCGGTAATTTCTGAGCTTTGAAGGAAAGGTCTTAATGTATCGCACATTTTGCAGGTGGGATGATCTTTGGCTCAACGAAGGATTTGCCACGTGGCTTGAATACTTTGCTGTTGCAAAGTTCTACCCTGATTGGGATATTTGGACACAGTAGGTTGTTGATGTTTTTAAACTTTTAAATTGATCGATGTTAAAAGGTCAACATCCTGAAATACGTAGATTTGTTACGGAGGCGCTAGAACAAGGATTGCGCCTCGATGCACTAGAAACTTCATCGCATCCGATTCAAGTGCCCGTGGAGGATTCCAAGTAAGATCCATAAATTTATAATTTGTGGATTGATTTATTCGTTTCTTTATTATTAATAATTCGTTTTGACGGCATTCTGTGATGGTGTCTTGTACTTAATAGCCAAATTAGTCAAATATTTGATGACATAAGTTATTCCAAGGGTGCATCCGTAATACGCATGTTGAGTAATTCTTACCTTGGAGAGGAAGTGTTCTTATCGGGCGTGAGAAAATACCTCGATAAACACATGTATAACAACGCGACTACGAAAGATTTATGGGACGCATTATCTGAAGCAAGTGGCAAAGATGTCAAAGGATTTGTGTCAAACTGGACTACCAAAGTTGGAGTATGTGCAATTTTCAGATAATCCAATATTCTGTGATTAACAATTATCAAATAATTTATTAGTATCCAATGTTGACTGTCGAGGAGTCTTTTTCGTCTGACACGGTGACCTTAAAAATCAGGCAATCCCGTTGCTTGTCCATCAAACCTAAGGAAGAAAAGGACGAGACGATCTGGAAAATACCAGTTGAAATTCAACTTGGATCAAGTCTTCGAAATCATT